AAAATAAAAATGCCAAAATGTGCATTCGAAGGAACACAAATAAAATTTCATTCAATTTGTATTTTTTTTTTCATATCAAATTAGAAGCATAATTTATGAAAAAATTGCGAAGAAGCAGTTTGAAAAAGACAAAAGAAAGGAAGAAAAAAAAAAGGAATGAAATTAGAGAAATGAAAAAAAAATTGATAATTTTATTTAATCTGTATAAAATGGATATTTAGGAGCAAATTTAGTATCACCATATTGTACATGTTCTTGATCTTCAGATATGTCCACTTCACCGAAAAGTGATTGTCTGTAATTATCGCTAAATTTAATATTTTATAATAAAATAATACGATTTAATCATCAATTAGCTTCGGATAGTAATAATTTTAACTGAATAACAAATTTTTATAATCGAACTAAAATGAATTATGGTTAATTAATTAAGAATATTGCAAATATTATAAATGATATTTACTAAAAAAAAAAATCAATTTGATACATTATTAAAAAAAATTTAATAGTATTCGAAAAAAAAAATTTCCAGAAACAATCATTATTTCCTAACAATTTACCATTGGAATAAGTTAATTAATTAGATAATTTCAAAGATAATATGAAAGTCTTGAATCTTGACAAAATCTTCAAATTCATTAATCATCAATACAATTACTCATGAAAAAGTAATTGTCAAAAAATTAAAAAAGAAAGATAAAAACAAACTATTAGAACATATATATTTTTTTTTTCAAATTTAATTTATCTTTCTTAATGCATTAAAAACAAAACTAATGTTTACACTCTTTTTATAAGTTTTATGAAATTAACTAATATGAACGAGTAAAAATGTTAAAACAATTCTTATTAATTTACCTGTAATATGGATTTGGAAGTTTAGGATAAAGTTCACTTAGAATTGAACTTGGTATACGTACACGTTTCTTGGATAACAACATCAACTCCATATCTGGGCTTAATTCATCCGTTTCACTTGTATTATCCAATGTTTGACCATTTTCTGTTGTTATTGTAACCTAGCAAAAAAAAAAAAAAAAAAAATTTTTTTTTTACATTAAATGTTAACAATAATGAAGGTATATTATTTTAAAAGCAATAATAACAATAATAATAAAGTGGAAAAAATAAGTTTCAAAATTAAACAATTTGCTAGCAAAAACAAAAAATTCATAATTAATTGCTTGCTTTGAAAATAGTAAAATTCTTTTTTAAATCATGCAATACGAAAAGTGGTAACATGAATGATTATAAACGAGAACAATTAATTTCCACTTATATCTATAATTAAAAATTTATTTAAAATTGAAAAAAAAAACAACTAAAAGAAATAAAATTATTACGTATATATGATAAATTAATGCGTAATAACCTGTATTTTTGCTTTATTATTTGGAAGTATTGGTGTTGATACTTTAAGATTACCGTTTACTCGATTATTTTCATCATTACCATCATCACTTTCTCCTTTTTCGCTCAAATTTCGTTGAAATAAATTAGTTAAACAAGGTATCGTACCTATTTGTATTGGTATTACTGTTGTTACATTACCATCAACCTAAAATTTAATGAAAAAAATTTCAATTTTAAATTAAAAATTCTTTGCAAACTTCAAAAAAAAAA